ATGGCATCGTATTTTTATCCCTAACAAATGCAGTGAACGATGCAATAAAATGCTATAAGTCCTAAATTCCATTCTTCATAAGCTCATCTTACTTCAGAGTTAATCTTAACATTGCTTTCAAATTCTGCAATTAGTGCATAAGCTATACGAAGTTACTCTTTTCTACCAGAGCTTAAATAGGAATGCAAAAGGGCCTTTAAGTTAGTTACTATATATCCAATACACTATTCCAATATGCAAGTAGTGAGTTCTTGATAATTCAGCTAACTACGTCACATCACTATTAGAAATACCTCACGAGCTCTTCAAAGCCCCATACTTAAACACTGCTACAATACAGCCCATTCTCAGACTTGGCAATTATGTTTCATATGCATTCTCCAGTGATTTTCTCCAGATCTTCTTCACTTGCATTCGATTGTGTATACTGATGTGAACCTAAATTATTACTACTAATATCATTAGTATATATTCTAGAGATGAATCATAACATATTCCAGTATAATTTACATACATCAAAAATCACTGCATATTGATTCAGACCAAATTCCACACCTTACCCAACTCAGGCCCCCAAAATTCTTCACTGCTTTGCTTCCAGTTTGATATCTGGAACTCTTGCACATATAGTGGAGGGAGGGGGGAGGTGTCAAAGTGATCGTTTTTTTCCTTTTTTACAAAAACATTTGATACATGGAAATTTATCAGGACTAATACGAAAAATAATCCAAAGTAGACAAGAAAGAGATGAAGAAACTGGCCGATAAGTAGCTCATGCATACTAACAAACATTTTTCTTGAAGAGGAGCTCCAGAATTGCATGGAAACCATACAGCATGAACTGTAGTTGCATGGAAACCATACAGCATGAACTGTAGTAGCATTGGGCATGCCAGAAAATAAACTCAAAGACAAACTGCAAAAGTACAGATGTTTACTTTTTGTACTATAAAAGAATGGCAAACAAGTAGTTTGATATGCTTTGCTTTACATTCTGCCCTTAATTTTCAAGGCATGCAGGCTGTCAAGTCTCACATCCCCTGGCTTTCTGGAATAAAGCATGGTTGTCAGAGGCAAATGGATCGCTTCCCCTGAAAGAGCAGGGAAAACAGAAGAGCAGTACTCTCAAAGGCATCTTCTGCCATGTGTTGATTAGATATTGACTTCAGTGACAAAATAAAGAAGCGCCAGGCTTTATTATTTACAAAAAGCCTCTCTTCATAAATGGTAGGGACAATTTCTTACAACAACATTAATCACCCAGTCATCGTAGAACATGACAGACAAGCTCTGCTACTGCAGATTACACCGTTTTTCAAACACCACAAAAAAGCAAACAGCGCCAACAAACAGCTTTCATCCTCTTCTGCAAGTCATTCTTAGTGTAACCCTGACGTGTATTAGGAGTTATTGGAATTCAAGTATCTTCACATCCATCAAAATAATTAAAATACATACTTCAAGGCTACCATTTGAAAGAAGGAACTCTATCTGATCATTCACTATGCATTTTATCCACTACGTTAGAGATCTATACTGCACATACATCTTTAAAAAAACGCACCTTAACAAAAAAATTCCTAGAAGTGCACTCTAATTTGATTTGGCCCACAGTCCTCAACTTCTTCCTGTTTTCTACAACTTGTCTGCCAGACAATGAAAGTATTCCAAAACTAACAATACAATCCCTCAACAAAGGCTTTCAAATATTCTAGCAGAGTGTGTTATATCTTAGGCAAAAGCAATTGTTCAAGAAGCTTTTGTGGTGGAGGGGGATATTTGAAACTCTCTTCAGTCAGTATACCTCTTCTCTACACTCTTCTCTCAGCATACCTTACCAAGTTTTGTTTTTAAAAGTAGTTTGTAAAAACTCATATATCTGTTTCACAAAAGTTCAGTAGTTTCTTTACTTTTTATAGCACTCCATTACAAATGAATTCTTCAAGCTTGCATCAACTCCTCTGCTACTCAAAATAGCTTGGCAATGGAGCTGCTCTTACTAAAAGTTGAATCTGTGGAATTGATTATCTAGTTACTACTTGGAAGGAACAGGGGTCTGACCTGCCCAGTCTTGATGTCAATGTGCTGTTGCATGATATTTTGAGTTTTATCAAAGTTTTGGGTTTGTTTGTTTTTTTTTTTTAAGGTATTTTTCTCTAAAAACAATCCAGTTAATCTTTTACAGTAGTTATTTCTTTAAGACAATTTTCATTATATTAAGTAAAAACACTTACCATTCTTCAGTTCGAAGCCTACAGTCCTTAGCTTCTCTTTCTAGTGTCTGAGACTTGATCTTTATGCAAGAAGATAATCTCACAATGTAAGTACTGACACAGCAAGACGTTTCATTTCAAAACTTTTCAAACTTGCAAGTAAGAGAAAAACTCCTTACTTCTAATTTGGCTTTATCATTCTGCAGTTTTTCTATGGTATCCGTGTATTTCCTTGTTAAACTGTCCACCACAGCTTGATGCTGGGCAGCATCAGTTTCCAAAACCTCAAGTCTAGTTCTCAGCTCCGCTTCTAAACGTTTGTGCTGCTCATCTGCTTCAAAGAACTGAAATAAGAAAAAGTAGAGCTCATATGAAAGCTTCGTTTTACTATGGAACCTAGTCCTATGAGTTTCACCAATTTAATTAGCCAGTCCAGCCTCATAACATGTACTAGTTCTCAGACAAATAGAAATTTTATGATATTTACAGAGAAGATATTCAGGAACAAAGTACTCTGTTTATTAAAGTTTTATAGCACCAAGCATTTCTTAAATACATTGCCGATTAATAGCAGACACCTGAAAAATTAAACTTGAGCTATAAGCTATTTCTCAAGTTTTTTAAGCCAAAGCGAAACACATTCCATTTTGATAAAGTAATTCCTGACTTAATTATGGCAACTTGCAGAAAGTATTTTAAGCTTTAAGGCAATTCTGAAACGGTTAGTGAACTAAAAGGAGGTTTCCACTCAGTACCAACTACATGGCTATTTTAAGTAGAGTACCTAAGTGTCCCCAAAAGTTAAAAATCTAAATGAGAAAACACATATATTATGTGAGTTATTCCACATACTGCCTTAAGAATCTGAAGTCAAAGCACTTTCTCATTTGTCCAGTGAACATCTTTATAAGCAAGCTATCAATCCAATTACTGTTTTGCATACAACTAAGCTTCAAAACCCACTAGTTTTCAGATGCCATTTTATTTTCTCTTTGTGTGATCAGTTCTGTCAACTAAAAAGAAAGGCTAAAAAAGTTTAACCTACAAGTATATGTAGTCGTTCATTCTCTTCTATCTTCTTCTGAAGATCTTCACTGAAAACACTTTTCTGCTCTTGACTCAATTGAGATGAGGATTCTGCACTTCTCTAAGAGCAAGAAAATGCATTAATTATCTTCAGGTTTCTGGGGGTATCCCAAAGCCCATCCCCAAGTATCTGAAAACACTTTCCATTGCTAATTCCCAATGGAGGCACATGAGGACATATCTTACTTACATTGACTATTACCTCAAAAGGCACGCTTATTGCACACAGCATGAGCCTAAAGGCAGCATTTTTTCCTTCCCATCAATGTTACAGTACAGCTGTAGAATGCTAATTCAGTAAGGACTGGGGAAAGCCTCTACTCAGGCGTCACATTCATACACACATGAAATTGCTTGTATGGGCAGATGCCATTTGACACCATTTCTGAATGATTTCATGCAGTCAAGAATACAAAACCCTACGCGCACAGGCTTATTTGGTTTGGGAGATGTGCATAAGGCATATCTCCCCCCACCACGTGTGCAGGTGTAAGTTGGTCTGGTCTCAGCAGGGACCAGGAATAATCACCGAAAGCGCACTATCCCACAGCAGGCTGTAGCACAAGGCAGCACTGGAAAACACAGGGTCTTCACTGTCCACCAACCACCCTGAGAATACAGACATCTCTCTGCCAGCTGTGACCTCAGTTTTCACCCATTTCATCCAAAAGACTCAGAGACCACCAGTGAATCCCACACTGCTTCTCTGCCCTACCACACTACTGAACAAAGGTAATACCATTACCAAGCAAAAGGGAGACTGTTTACATTACAAAACATAACACCAAACTTCAAGTGTTTGGGACAGCTAAGCCACCTCTGCATTTGATGTCAGCCTACAAACTACAACACCTGAGATACGGGCATATGCTCTCCTAAAAGGATTGTAGTCTGACACAGATCATCTATTCAAATCTTAATCTAAATAGTTTTAGAGGTGATTTACATGGTCTCCCAATAGCAAGTCTCTAAAGTAAGGGCGACATGGAATTCAGTAGGGGTACGTTCAACACAACGTATATACTCAATGAGGCCCTATAGTTAAAACTAAAGGAAACATACATAAGAGGTAGGACAAGCACTTCTAAAGAAAAAAGAAACACAGAACTGTGCATGCCAATAGCTGAACAGGAAAGTGGCAATATTTTGCAAAGCTACTGAAGCCAGGCTGAGGTCCTCCAAAATCTGGAAACCTGTCTAGTAAAGCAATAAGTTACATAACATGAAATAAAAGAACAAAAAGGGTCGAACTGCATTTTAAAGGGCAATCTGTTACAGTGTGTGAATAGTGTAAGTCAGAGGTACTATCCAGGAACTGGATAGCAAAGAAGAAAAAAAAAAAAATCACAAAAGTTTAGGGAAAAAGGAATATTATAATATTACTATCAGTTGAATGATTTCTTTAATGTCAGTCTTGATAGTTAGAGTATTTGGCTAACCAAAAAGGAAAGATGACAGTAATTAAGAGGAAGGTTGCTAAGGATGCTTGAGCCCTATTTAACTCCACACACACCACCCCTGGAATTCTGATGTTACCTACAGAAGACATTGCTGATCTTAGAACATGGTATAACCAGGTTTAATCAGCAAGCATTTTGGCAAAGAAAGATCTTAGTACTGAAATTAATCAGTTATTTTGAAATAACTTAAGGAATACTAGCTAAAAATTTAGATTTCAAAGCATTTTACAAGATTCACGTATAAGCCAACTAGAAAAGCTATGACTGTGGGCTGAAGAGTTAACCATCGACATCAAAATTACAAAGCAAGGAGATGGGGATGGAAAATGAGGGGTGATCAGTTTTCTTTATAGCAGTAGATTAATTGCAGAGCTCCAAGATCTTTTCCAGCTGTTTGGACACTTAATATATATCTGGTAAAGGGAACCAGCAATTCAGTATCAGTTAGCTGACGCAATAGAAAAACGTACGGAACTACTCAGCATGTATTATACGTATCAGCATTATGCCTGTTTTGCAGGTATTTTCACTAACATCAGTTAATAACACAAGTTCTGACAAGAACATGCAGCTCAACCCTTGACACAAAGCAACTACTGCTAGAAATCAGGGTAAGACATTGACAGGTGAGGAGCAGGCATCTGCTAGGCAGGTTTTTTGCCATTAGCACATACCTTGTTCTTCTTGCCCCTAGCTTCACTTAATGCAAGTTCATCTTGAAGTAACTCCACCCGCTTGGCAAGCTGCTGATTTCGAAAGGTCAAGCTGTCCATTTCTTGTTGCAGTTTTCTCAGTGACTGATCCTTCATCTTCAGTTGCTCCTGAATGACCAAGAAGTTTAATTTTAAAACTTCCACACTTCCTTTCACACATGCTTTTAATAAGAAGTATCACATTAAAAAAAGAACGCATTAAAAAATTGCTTTCTTCGCTATTTGAACACTGAAGAAGCAAAGAGTATTGCTTTTAAACTAAAAAACAGATTTCACCTCATTGAGCTGCCCACAGATCACACTCAGATAGGTACTTCATTCCGCAAGTTTAAGAAGCAACCTTACACTGAAAATGTCAATGCCCACAGAGAACAATGAAGACTGGTTGCAGAACAGAAATTCTGTTATTAAATCAAGTTCCTTCTTTATTCCTTTAATCACAATACTTTGAGTAAAAAACATTCCTGTTTACCTATTCTGTCACAGCTTAATACACGTTTTTGAGATTACCTTCAGAGAAGCAGAGTTTGCTTGCTCATCTACAACCCCTTTTTTCAGTACTTGGTTCTGAGCTCGAAGCTGAAAAATAAGAGACACCAATAACTATGCAAGACAAAGGAATAAATAAAAGCCATTCATTACACTGTGCGTAAAGCATCGTGTTCTCTTGTGGGAGCACCAGATGTGGATACTTTTTAAAGCGTTCTGTTCAGGTAGACAGCAGTGGTATCAGGTTGAAAAAAGGTATCCAATTCATATGTTGAATTGCCAAGAAACAAGAAGTTACTTCACTATCTGAATATTTGGGTCAAATAGAACATAATTCTTACTCAACAAGCATGTTGGAAGATTAATAACTTAAATATAGTTAAGGTTTGAAGAACAGTGAACAAATATGGAAAAGTTTCAACTTCTTCCTTGACTAATCAAGTTCTTGCTCGTATTCACTGCTACTTCTATCTCTCCACTCTTCTCTCCAAAACTGCTCATGACTGGTTCTGGAACATAAGTAGGGCTCACAATAAAGTCAAAATCTGTATCAGTTCAAGAAGAGCTTAACTATACTCTAATGCAAAAATACTTATTGCCAGTAGCAGCAGATGATCCATAGAGAACAGCTTGACAAATACTTCAGGAAAATGCATAAAAACCATATCAGAAAAAGCCCTCTAAGACTTACTTATATAGTTCACAAATCTGAGCTAAAAACCACTGTAGTGAAAAGTGATATTGAAGAAATCTATTTCCCAGTCACTTCACAGAGTACCTCTACCCTGCAGCAATGAGGATACCGACAGTTCCATCTTCCCATTCCTTGATAATTGCTGGAATCCTGGTTTCTTCAATGGCAGTTTGTATTCATTTGACATGTTTGAGTCCAGCTGTTGCAGATATAAATTAAAAGGGTTTGTATAGTGTTTTGGAATACCTCTAGCAGATGCATAAAAGGCAAGACTCCATGCAAAACAGCAATGGCTAATCCTTTCAGTCTGATGACCGAACATATTTGAAAGGTCAAAAGTCAGTTGACATTGCTAAGCACAGGCTTTCATCCTGCAGTATTCCCACAGGCATCACATAGGCAAGAGAAGAAACTTGCTAGATGACCATAGAAAGACCTTCCAGCACGGGGTGTCCCTGGCAAGAAAAAGCAGCGCAGTAGTTTTCTACGCCTTTTTTCTGCCACATCGACTAATGCAGGAACATGTCGGGTGCAATGATGAAACACCAAATGAACTACCTCAATCATGCTGCATTGAGATACCTAAGCTGAAGTGTGATCCACCAAAGTCTGTCATGAGCTGAAAAGAGCCTTTTGACTACCACTTCCGTCAGGGTTGTGCAAGAGAGACAGAAGCTACAACTCAAAGGTAAGAAGAGACTCTGAAAACACACACCCTTTTTCTGGGCTGCTCTGTGAACCGAGAGGGAAAGCAATCCTTTGGCAGGTACTTCCCTCGGCGCTTCTTGAGTCTATCAAACTCTTGCCTACCTCTCTCCTTGGCTTCCACAACACAATTAAGTGAACATGCGAATAGCTTCCCAGGGCTACTCTCCATTTCTACCTGCACGCAATAAACAGCCAGTCGAACCACTGATCATTTCCACAAAAAGGAGTTATCTGCAAAGGAGATACCACAATGCCCTGGAGTTGTTGCACAAGAAGTGGGATGAGACCAAAATATAGTTCCCACAGAGAATCAATGAAACATCACAGGCTGAAAGTTGCAAGATGAAGTTCAAAGAAAGCTTTTGAACACCACAATACTAAAAGAAAGAGGATCCAGCAGTTGGAACTTTCAGAAGCTATAGTCAAAAGGTCCACACTGCAAAGTTTCATTCAGGAATCAAGCAGCTAAGTCCCTCAATTGCCTTAACCTGTGCCATTTTTAATCTCCAAGGTACAGCAGAGCCACTGCAGAAAGTAACAAGTAATATGAACTCTGTGACCTACAAAGTCACAAAGTTAATTCAGTTTTCTTAAAATGATTTTGTGGACGCCTTAAAAAAATAAACGTGTGAAAGATTTTGATTCTGTAGAGGGTTTTTTACAGCAGTTCCAAGGAGAACAGTACTTAAAGACGCATAGTTCTGTAATCTAGGGAAAGGTGTCAAATACAGTCAAGTGCCTTCTGCCAAACACTCTGATACTGGGCTACACAAAAATAAAGCACTGGCTTTCTTCCCCAAGGCCACTGAAGAACCATGCCATTCAAGACCAATGGTCTCCTCTTCCTTTTAGTGAAGAAACAACAATGAAGAGTTCTGTATTAAGCAAGGCTCCACCATTTAGGAAATCATCTCGAGAATCTTGGAAAGGAAAGGCATTCTCTGCTGTGGGCCATAAGTCTTTGCAAATTATCCCTTAAGCAGCACGAGAAAAGGGAAGCAAAGCCACCGAGGGCAGCTGCAGAGGAATGGGAACAGACACGAGGCAAGTGTGGAATCCAGCATCCTCAATTCCATCAGACTGCAGCACCAGTGCAAGCACTACCGACACCACTGCACTCCCACATCCACCAGTCCAAGCAAACTCAGAGTCTAGGGGTAAGGCACAGGACCACGACCTGAACAAATGTTCACAGCCAAAAAGCTAACTAAGCCTCACGCCTGAGGCGTGGAGAAGCAAGGGAAAGCACGGCCAGTGTCACTTCCCTGGCGTAGCTGAACCCCCTAATTGTCCTGCTGGTTGCTTTGCAGAAAAGGCCACCGTGCTCCTCACGCCGGCTTGCCCCGCCAGCGCTCGGCAACGCCGCGTTCCCAAAGCACCCG